AATTGGCCACTCCCATCCAAAGTCATCCGCCTCCAGCACAGGTTCAAGTGACTGTGCAACCTCATCTGCCCTCCTCAGATCCTGGCCACGCCGTTTCAGAAACCGGCTCCAGGCTTCTTCATCTCTCTCCGTCAAATTCTGCAAAGAGGACAGTCGGGTACACGGCAATGACACCCATGTGAAGCGAGGCTTCTTGTTCTTGATGGTCTCGGCCAAAGCGGAAGTTCCCTTCCGAGAATCCAGGTCATACCCGGTCAAGTAGTTTGCCCGCTCACAGAGGAAGCCATTCTTCTCGAAAGTGGCCGTCAGAGTGGAGGTAGGGCTGCAAGCCACTTCAAGTAGATCCAGTTGTGCCTCTGTCGCCTTGAGCACTTCGGTCAAGGGGGCCAGCACGATTGCAGTCAAAGTTGCGGCCTGAGCCAATTTCTTTGCCAAAGGGGGCAAGATTTCTCTTGTGAAACAATTCTTCACCGACAAAATGTCGTTCGTAGTGTCAGATGTCGTGGTGGACGTAGTGCACGTAGGTTGATTGTTGCCATCGTTGCTGCTCTCATTGAAGGTTGAAGATTTGGTTTTGTGGCAGTCAGCCTCCAGCCGTGGGCCACAGTCGCTCTTTGCAGAGCCATTCCAGCCAGCTCCTTTACCAGAGCTCATCCTTTCTCGCAAGGCTCCAAGAGCCGCCCAAAGTCCGTCTAGTCGGCCCCGATGATCTCGGCGCTCCCGTCGCTGAAGATCTCCACCGTCTCGGTCGTCGCCGGTGTCCAATGGGGCGTCTGAGGCTCTTGAACCTGTTGTTTGGGCTGAGACATTGACTTGGCCTTGGCCTTGGCCACAGCAGGAGACGTCGTAGATCTTGCCAGGCTTGGTGATGGGGAGACACTCCTTGTCACTCTTGGGGTCTCCGGCGCAGGTGTTGTCGGGCTCCTTCTGGTAGTCGGCGTTGTAGTGCTCCTCGTGATAGATCTTCTCCCCGGCGTTGTCGCCGCCGTCACCGTCGCTTCCAGAAGAGCTTCTCCCCGGGGCTCGTCCACACGGATGTCGGTTCTGACACTCCCTTGCCCACGGGTCATCACCAGTTGTCGCCCTTTGATCTCCATCACCTTGGCCTGAAAGATCTTTTCGTTCATCTCGTTGGCTTGGTACACCAATTGCAGCTCCTCTTGGGCCATCGCCACCAGTTCCGGCGCAGCTCCCAGTGATCGGGTCTCTCCATGCCCTTTCACCTTGGTCTCGTAGGTCAGCCGCAATCCGCACTTGGGGCATGACGTCCACCTCGCATACTGGTTGGATCTCTCCCTGCCGTTGGAGTGATTGCCGCGACATGGCCATCCAGTCTGTCGAGGGTCGGTGACCGGAGCGGCAATGCGGGATTGGGCCATCTGTTTTCTCCTTCAGCCTTTGGAGTCTTTGAGCCAGGTGCTTCAGAGTCGCATCCATACCAACTCCATGAGGTTGTCCATGCGTAGATTCCAAAGCTTCAGCTCCATACACTGTTGACAACATGCACACGGAACCCCTTCCAAAGTCAGGTCCATGATGTCCAGAAGGGTCATCACTGTTCCCAGGTCCACGTGTGTGTTCAGGTTCATGTGATTGATTGGGCTCATCTAGTTCAGTGTCATCGTTGTTGACAACAGGGTTCTCGCTCATCTCTTTTGACTCCATAGGGCTGTCACAAATGGCTTCCACAGCTTCCCAATTGGGTCGCATTTGCATGTGCCTGCAGCCGCGTCCACCACACCAAGGAATTCGGCAGGGAAACGTAGTCGGAGTCCATCCAGTTGAGGTAGCTCCACGACGATGGAAGGTCACTTCAGCCATCACCAGCTCATCTTCATCCTTCTCTTGCTTGACTTCCAGTTCACCAGGTAGATGAAGTGTTTCAGAAGTGACAATGACGTCGTCGTCATCCAAGTCCAGCGGGTCTTCCGGCTCCAGGTAGTCGTCCAAGGGAGATGCAGCCAAAACTCCAAGTCCATCATGTGGTCCTCCCTCCATGTCGGCATCTTCAATGTCGTTGGCCCTGTTGGCAGCTCGTCGCACTGCCTCATGAACTCCGAGACCACCATCGGAACGTTCTCGATTGGCACGACGTCGATCGTTTCCAGAACGTCGCGCTCTGCCAGGACCATGAGGATCTCCACCACCACCATCGTCTCCACCAGGCCCATCATCTCCGTGATCAGAAGGAGGTCGTTGTAGTCGGCCCAAAAGTGAAGCCAGGGATTGGGGATCCTCCGCCAAATCAATTGCCACATGTCGTCCTCGAAGACGAATGAGAGGGTTCGTCCACCATGAACCGTCAGGAGCTTGGTGTGCGAAGTACTCGCCACAGTAGGCCACCACAGCATTCCTTTCCCAAAGTTCCCGGCCGCCCAAGAGGGGCGGTGTCATTTCAGCCTGACCATCCAGCAGGTAGAAGCTCGTCATCTTGAGGGCCTTGGTCTCGATGTCCAAGCGTGAAGTCGCTTGTTGGGTCTGGCCATTCCCAAACCTGAACATGGGCCTGTCGTGCAACACCACGTGGTAGGTCGGCACGTCGAAGGAGTCCAGCATTCTGGCCATGCTTGTCACCCCACAGACTGACTCCGTGGCGCCAGTGTCAATGATAGCCTTCAGTGCGTTCATCGACGTCGTGGCATGGTCACTTTGAAGTGACATCACATTGACAAATTCCATCTGGCCGTTCCCATTGTCGGTCTGGTACTTCTCAATGTCGACAAAATAGTCCATGGCATAGTTCACCTTCGAAGGTGAAGACTTGCTGAACTTCCCCTTCTTGCCCTTGTACATCGCCTTGCCCTTGCTTTTGGATTTGCCACCTTTGGTCGGTGAACCAGATGGGCTTCCACCCTTGGCAGAGAACCGGTCCGGGCAACTCAAGTAGCCGTGGTGCATGCTTCCACAGATGAAGCAGGGCCCATAGGAAGTCCTCTTTCCTTTGGCCTTCCCTTTTCCTTTCATGGATCCTTTGGTGGATCCCTTCATTCCAGCTGGGTCGTAGTAACCCCTTGCAGCACGAACTTTGGCAACTGCCTGCCTTGCCTCCTGCAAGGTTTTGTTTGCCTCTTTGGCTATACTAAAAGCTTCTTGATACCGATCATGTTCTGGAATGGATCCCAAGTCACTTGTGTCTTCTCTGTTGCTCTCTTCATTCCAGTCCCATGATTCATCTTGCCATTCGTCGGTGCCGTAGGTCTCCTCCTCGTAGTAGCAGCCATCCCAGTCAGATGACCAGTAGGCATCCTCATCGGCACCCCACCAATCCTCTGTAGACCAACCTTGGTCCTCATCTTCATAGGCGGTGTCGTCCCACTCGTTGTCCTGGAACCACACCATTCGTTTTGGCCTTTTGCCCATCCCATCATCTGCACTTTCATCAGCGAAGAGCGTCCGCAAAGCCCGTCTCACCTCGACAAATCGGGTGGAATTGGATGTCAACGTCAGGATATGTTGCTTCTCCTGCGATGACAGCTTTGCCGCCTTCAGCAACCTGTAGCCCCTCAGCTCATCACCAAAGAAGTCCGTCTCCAAGGATCTCCTGAGCTCAGAGGCCGTCTCTTCATCCTCAGCTGGCACTGCAGGTCCTGTCGGAGATCTCGAAGGTGAGATCGGAGGTTCTCGTTCACGAGCTGTCCCGACGCCCACATTGGCAGCTTGAACTCGTTCGGAACGTGCACGTTGTAGTGCTTGTTGCAACTCAGTGAACAACTCCTCCTCTCTGACCAACAGCTGCGGTATCGTCTCCGATGGAAGCCTCCGCATGTTGCTCCATCTCTCCAGCCTCGAGAAGCTGTCAGGTACTGGAAGTCGTTGTAGTGGGCTCGACCTGAGCACTTCCAGCAGCTTGTCCAGGCCATTGTTGGTGTCATACTCCAGGGGATCCAGGTGCCTTACAACAGACTTTGCAGCTCCTTGCAACTTCTGCCACACCCGAGAAGCTGCTAAGCGCCTCTCGTTTTCCTTGAGGCTCAGCGTGTACCACCGGCACGCCGTGGCAAAGGCCTCGAACGTCGCCGGGTCTCCGGTCCATGTCGGGACCCCATTGTCCTCCGTCTTCATCTCGTCCAAGACCCACGCCGAAGAGCTCGTCCAGGAAGAAGGCCACGTAGGTGTAGGAGAAGTCCACGAAGAAGTCCAAGAGGAAGTCCACGAAGGGGCCACGTAGATCTCGGCAAAGAGGATCACCAGGAAATAGGGCTTGTAAAAGCGCCGCACCAAGGCCAGCAGCAGCCGCGCGAAGAGCTCGAAGAAGCACCACGCCAAAGCCAGCAGCACCCGCGCGTAGGGCTCGAGGAGAAGCCGCCGCAGCCACCAACCAGAGGAACCAGAAGAGCATGTAGAGAAGAAAGTGCAGCCACCAGCAGCCGCCCCGCGAGATGCCAAAGAGCTCCGCAAAGGCGTTGAAGGTGGGTAGGATGTAGGCCGCCACAAGTGCCCCACCAGGGGCTCCGCTACCATGCAACGGGCACAGCGCAGTGGATGACCGTCCCTAGCTATAGGGAAAAGGGGGTTTGCGTTCCACCTCACGAACCAGCTCCACAGGGAGCAGCGCGAATCCTTTTGGCTCGATCCCGCCCTACGGTAACGGGCAGGTGCATGTAAAAGTCACATGACACATGTATGCCATGCTCACAATAAGGATTTAATTCTCCCACCCCCGTTAAACTTCTATATTCGCTGAAGATCTTCGATAAGGGTTTAATTCTCCCACCCCCGTTAAACTTCTACATTAATTGAAGATCTTCAATAAGGGTTAATTCTCCCAACCCCCATTAAACTTCTACATTCATTGAGGTTTAATCCTCCTACCCCGTTAAACTTCTACATTCATTGAGGATCTCCAATAAGGGTTTGATGGTGATGATGATGATGATGATGGTGATGATGATGATGATGATGATGGTGATGATGATGATGATGATGATGATGGTGATGATGATGATGATGATGCGTTGCCTGTCGTGGTTGCAGTATATAAACTCAGCACTTTACCGCTCCTCGAACCTTTGCCGCCCATGAAAGTGGAGCCAAGCGGTGTGTGGGTCGCCCATCTTCAACTGGCGTCCACAGGATTGTAATCAATGGTAATCAATGGTATTGTGATTAAAAAAAAAAATAGATCAAGCTAAAATACATACCATATATACATAAGATGATATACATAACATATAGAATTATGATATACTGTGTATATAACAAAGATATACATAATTTATTGCATAAACACATTTATCTGTATATGAAGATTTTGTCAATGTATTTGGTTATTGGCCCTGAGATTGATCATAGGGCAATGAGATCCAGTGCCACAACTTTAAAAGCCGGTCTCAGTCCCACCTCGCCGAAGTGGCTTTGACGTCAGTGATGGTGAGAGCGAAGCGCCCAAAGGGGCTCACAACGCTTTTGTGTATGTACCTATAGATGCAGGGGCACAGGGGCAGAGGTCTTGGGAGTCTTGGACAGTATTTTGTTTAGAACTGTGTTTGTTCTTGGATTTTATGGGGCGTAATATCGTGTACCTTTGTAATGCTTGCAGGACCCTGCATTTGTGTGACTAGGTCTGATTTCTCTTCCACCTTGTCTTGAACATCCACCATGACCTACAACTATGGCACCTATAACAACTCTCAAAATTTTCCCCAGCCTCTTAGAATGGTCTATTAGTAGAGGAACTTTGAAGAAATTCTTGACATGTTCCCCATGCTCTCTGGCATTCGCTACAAAATAAATCTGATGTATAGTAGCTTCTGCCCTTGCCATTTGACAGCGACAGAGCAATCAGGTGTCTGTTCTTGCTCTTGTTCTCCTCATCCTAATATGATATATGTATACAATATATAGACATCTTATGAACTCTTGGAACTTTAGATAATAATCTGTTCTCCTTTGTTCCTTCATTTCAGTCTTCGTGCGTTCTCGCCTTTCTTTAGCCTACGCATTTCTTCGTGCTTTGTTGCTTGTTCGCTTCATGCCAACAGACTGCCTGTCTTCGTGTATTCAAGCGTTTAAAAAGCCTGCGGGATGGCAAGCATCAGTTGAAGTGCAGTGTTCCCAGAGATTCGCCACATGGTGAAAAAGCAAACTGATATTGAACATTATTGAACTGTTGTTGGATTATTGTTGGCTCAATTACTGATATTCCTGACCCCAGACGCTAATCAACGTGCCAAGCGGCAACTGCTGACGTCGCCACTGGCTGACCCTTTTGTGGCGATTGGCTGCACGGCTGCGTCAAACACACACTAAAATGACGTCGGCCGGATATACCCTCAACATGCTCGTTGCTGCAAAGAGTCCGAAGACATCGAAGCAGGTGGATACAGACTAATTAATAAATAAATCTAATCGGAGAAAATTACTATATATATATATATATTACTATATGTATCGTGGCTCCAGCAAAATAGCTTTGGAGTTTTGCACTCTCCTCACCCACCAAACTGTGTTCGGATGTCCACTCATGTAAAATTTATGATACCCTGACATCACCTGAAAAAATTGAAAACCATTGGGAGAAAAAACAGCGCGTGGTGCTGTCATCTACCAGTACTTTATGTAATCATGGCAAGATTTTCAATAGACTCTGATTAAGCACTCAACATAGAATGCCTTGACAAAACTCTCTCGATGGTAGCCGGTGGCCAGCTGTCTTGGATTTAATCCGCGGTGCTTTTCAACTCACGGCGATCTGGTATGGACCTGTAGGTTTCTCTGCCATGCCTGCTATTAAAAGAGAAATTCTTCCCTCGCTTGAAACAACTGTCCACTCCTGCGCTTCTGAAGGGTGCAAGCGTTTCTTCCAGAAAACGCAAGTAGTATGCTGATTGGTTTGGTATTCGTAACAGAACTCTCTTGACTCAGCATGTGTGGGCAGTTTGTTTTTCAAGCCAGCAATAATGCATGTGCCTCTGTCCTCTTTTTCCGGTACCACAGTCATAAACCATCTCGTTAAATATCTATTAAGCAACCAGAATAGGGGGTCATTTTACATCATCCCGTTGCTAGGGGCAAACCCAAGAAGAACCCCCAATTGGGGATGTTTTTGTCCTGGGAGGGACATGCGGAAAGGCCGCGCAACGCCGACCCCTTTTGAGCCTCTGGCAGTGGCAGGCCTGCGTTTTATTCACACTACAGCGACGTCCTCACGCCCTGAGTGCAGGGTGTTCTTCTTGGCATTTCCCACTTCCCACCTTAAAAAAGAACGTGAAGGAACTACTAGCATAAAAAGTTTAAGTTTCAGTCACATTTCAGTGTAGACTTCAACATCCAAGTGTTTGTCAATTGCAATCAGGTATATAAGAGGGGTGACAAAGTGATCAAAAATGGAGAAATCATGAAGATGACGCTGGCGTTCAGCATCGCCTTCTTCTTCTTCGCTTGGTACCAAAAAAAACGACATATGTAACTTGCTACATTCACACCATCTCCCAGACAATTAAGCCATGGGATTTACTTTACAGCAGTTGTCCAAATCATCAGTTATATATATAGTTATATAAGAAAAGATAGAAAAGGACAAATCATGAAAAAACAGTTCTAATATGATCCTGAAAAAGTGTTAATTTGGCTTCCCGGTTCTGCAGTGCCATCATCATCCCATCATCCCTGAGCTGTATCTTGAGTGCTCCAGTGCTGTGCTTCAGGCCCGAGAGGCGCAAAACACTCATCAAAGGATTCTCGAATGAATGTCTTGTCGAGACCTTTTCCTGAGATTTCTGCGCATGGATATGAATCTGGAACCAGAAATCTACAAGAAACGAAATGGATGATATATATATATATATGTGTGTGTGTGTGTCTGCTATCACAAAAGCATCAAATGTAGCAACTTATAGAAATCACATGAGTCACAAGCAGGATTCCATAGGCCAGAGTGCCAGGAAATATCCAAGGATTACCAATTGCAGGCCTCAGTTTCCCCCCTGTCACCAGGGCTCCAATGAATACGATCTTGGTGATCCGCTTTTCATCTTTTCCCCAGGGCTCGGCATCCGCTTCATCACTGACGTCCATGACCGCGTGGAAGACGTGCTTGAAAGGATGGCTTTTGACCGCAAGGATGCCTTTTATTCTGAAGATGGTGCCTGGGCAGGATAATGTTCATGGGATTGGATGGAATGCCACGTGGAATGTGCTTGCACGTTCAATCTTGAGGTTCTCGAAATGCAAAGCCCATTCATGCAAAATCAATGAATGATAATGAATCCAATGCTGGTATTTTCAGGAAAGAGAATAGCGCAGTGCAAAGTCATCCGATACATCGGTTCTTTTCAGCTCGGGGTTCGCTTTCAACAGCTGTTCCCACTGAAGATTTGCAACTTCCTCCCACTAGACCGCAACGCTGGGTGCCTTTCTCAGGTGGCAGTTGCCCCAAAGTCTGCATGAAAGCAGAGAGCTTTGAAGGCAGCCTTGAAAAAAGTCGCTACAGAAGGGCAAGGGCTGCAACCGACGTCAGCATCCGCAGGAATTATCAACCAACATCAACAAACAAGTTCAAAGAGCCAGCTGGCGACCTGTTCGAGCTATTTTGATAAGGTTCGCCTGTAAAAAAAAAAAACATGGCCAAGTTCTGCCAAGTTGCAGTTCTCCTTCTCTCACTAGTGACATAGAGTTCACCCTGCTGTCATGTCGACTCCTTAGTTGTCAAGCTAGCCAGCAACAGGTCGTGGTGGGTGCGTGAGGCAAATGATCGCACCAGGCTTCGGGGTAATTTGTTGAGGTTCTGCTGGCATCCAGCTTCTACGCTCGAACCCCAGCATTTCTGTGGATAATAGACTGATCTGTTGTCCGCCATCCCAACATCTCCCAACTTCAGGCCAGTTCACTTCTGCTTCTTCGTCACATGGCCATGTTCGTCGACATGTCCATGTCCATGTCCTCCATGTTCGCCGTGTCCACCGTTTTCGCCGTGGCCATGGTCCTAGCGATGCCAAACAGCTCCATGACTGATGTTTGCACCCTCTAAACAACACTAGTACAGTAAATGGTGGTGTCATCCTCTGATAAGATTGATGGTATATATATATATAGCTGATATATATATATAGTTTATATATATATAGTTTATATATATATATATAGTTGATATATATAATATATATATATATATTTAATATATATAGTTGATATATATATATAGTTGATATATATATATATATAGTATATATATATAGTTTATATATATATAGTTGATATATATATATATATATAGTTGATATATATATATATATATACATTTAATATATATAGTTGATATATATATATATAGTTTATATATATATATATAGTTGATATATATATATATATATATACATAGTTGATATATATATATAGTTGATATATATATATATATATATAATTGATATATATATATATATAGTTGATATATTTGTATGTGTATATAATATGCACGTACACACATTGTGTATATAATATACTATAATATAAATATAATATATATATATATAACATATTAGTTATATATGCATGTATATAATAATTATATATTATATCCCATTATATCCCATTGTATAATTATATCATGATCACGCAGGTCCATGCTCACCTTGCCTCCACCAATACCAATACCCATGTGATATTTGAAAATATATGTTTCAAGAGAAACTATATAACCAGAATGGTAGATGCTGTGCCCTGGCACATCCCCTGTGCAGTTGGGGTCGTGCGCGTCACCATTGTGAGCACTGTGACCATTATGTCCACCTGAACATCCGGCCGGTTGGTTGGCTACAGTACTCTCCGTTAAAGAAAAATGGAAGGTACCCATGGATAATCCTGGAAAATGGTACGGCAATGAATACCCACATTTTTCAGGGAAATCCGCCCGCACCAAAGGTGCCGAGAGGCTTTTTTTTGTGCGCACGCGTAGATCAGAAGCAATTGCAAGCATTGTAAGTTTTGGCTTGGCCGGGTGGCATGTTTGCTCTTGGTCCTGCTTTTCAATCTGTTTGAAGAAAGGTCGTAAAATCGGCCAAGCTGCCAAATATAGGTCTGACATAATCCCAACAAAGGCCCAACATTGCCACAACATTGGCCGTATAGGAACAGGAGTCCGAGTAAGATGGGCTTAACATGGATCGAAATGGTGCAACATAGGCTCAATGTCGCCAACAAAGAGCTAAAAATCAGCTCAAAATAACATGGGCTGTTTGCTTGCAACATGGCCATACTTTAAACCGCTCAATGCAATATCAACTCCTCCAATGAAATAGACAAACAAAAGAAAACGCGATGTTTGACCAGTTTGACCTATTCACGCCTTGCATTGCGAAAAACTATGCCAAACCATGTTGCGCCTCTATTGGCCCCTTTTTTTCGCCATCTATATAACAGATTTTGCCTTGCATTTGTGGGATCCTTATACATGACGAGCCCATCCTCACTAAAACTCCGTGTCTGAGCCCGTTTTTGGCCGCTTTGAAGTTGTATTTGTATTCCTCACATCGAAAATCATGCAAAATACATCAAGAAACATGTGTTTTTGCATGTTTTTGCTATGCAAGCCCCAAAAAGCGCCAAATGGATCCAAACATCTCCAAACTATGGTGAGCCCCTGGGTCTTTAAGCCACAAGAAATACAGTAATCACATGGGCTAAGCTAAGGCTGCCAAATATAGTTCAACATGACATGGGCCAGGGCCTAACATTGCCAAAACATCGGCCACAGAATGAGCCCATCATGGGCCTTAGATGGGCCCAACATATGAGTCGCTCAACATGGATCCAAATGGTGTCAGTGTAGCCCAACAAGGGTTCACCGGTGTAGCTAATTTATGCTAATTTGTCAAACTGCTCAGCAGCAATGTGCAAACACTTCCACTGCGGGCGGTTGCAGTCGCGAAGCGACCAAAATATTTCACAAATGTGGGATTTCCCTGGAACCCCATTGCAGATTGGTAGGGTATGTTGAATGGACCAAGACACAGGTTGTTTCAAGATAAACAAACAGTCTTCCAATGTGGCGAAATACCTCCACCAACAGATTGAATCTGTGCTGGATTTCTTGATCGCTCCTACGATATCGCTCATCGTGCGTCCAAAACATCCAGACCAAAAGCCTAATTTCTCACCAAAATGCATCATTATCAATCCATAATATCAACCCTCCAAAACTCGGAGGATTCCAGAGGGTTCTAGCAGTCCTACAATTGAAGAGTCAGCAGAAAATTGATTGTTCATTGCCACATCTTGCTACCCGCTGCTACCCATGACCTCCATGTTCTCCATGTCCACCATCACCATGAGCTTCCTCTTTCTCCACTGCCTGCATGTTCCCGTTCCCGAAAGGTGCTCTTGTGGTGAAGGGCCAATTGGGTGAATCAAGAATGTCGGAACGATTGCTCATCCGCATTGAACAGCATTGCATGGCTTTATCAAACACAGAGACAGATTTGCATAACCATGGGCGTCGAGACAGGCTAATGGGGACGCATGTCATGTTTATGATGACTTCATCGACACATATTCGCAGGGCTGCAGTCTAAGTTTTGACTTTACGATGTGCATTCCCAGATCACGCCTTATATAATGTAAATATATATATATATAGATATAATATAATTAGATTTCTTAGATTTCTGTGGTCAGGGTTCTTGACATGGCCAAGTGTTGTGATGGTTACCATGGCTTCTCATAGCAGTATCCACGTCAGCTCACAGGAGACATACTAAGCCACCATCGGCCACCTCTTTCTCAATCTCAGCGTTGACAAAGTTTGTCATGTCCTTGGTTGACTGACGAGCCGTACTTCCAGTTTTCAAACATGATTTTTCCTCCATCGGCAGTAGAAAGAAAGGGCCAAATGGAGGCATGCCCAACACCAAGCCCAGTCATGAACCAAGTTTCATGAGCTCTCAAATTCGAAAGCTCTGAGAGTTTGACTCTCCCACGAACCTCGGAATCAAAGAATCTGATCACCAGCTGTGGATGAATCAAAACATATCAAATACATCCAGCAATTAGACAAGAGATGATAAAAGTCTTCACTGCTTCCAACGGAAAGTCTATCTGATTGTGGAAGGGTTCAACTCTTCTAACCCCGCAAATGAAATACGAACATCTTTGGGATCCTCTTGACATAGTAACATATAGCAACCATGTACCCAACAAAAGGCCATGGCCGCCATTCACCAGGCCACAGCAGGCACAATCTTCGCAAACGCGTTGATATCTCGAAGTCTCTCCTCATCGGTGCAACACACAACTCTGGTTGAAAGAAGCTAGGAATCGCGGCCAGAACAAATCACCCAAATTATCCCAAATCACTAGTCACTTTGAGCGGTTGAATCCTTTGACCCTATTTTTTCTGAGTGAAAGCCATTCAAAGGCATTCAAAGCCTTGATAATCCAAAAATTCACATTGGATGCTCGAAGTGAAGAAGGCCTCTCTTAGGACTCCTGGGCAACCTATTGCCAACTTGCTTGGAACACGTGTGGAGGCACATTTGAAGCACATGATCAGTGAAATGATCATCTTGGCGTATCTTTGCTGCTTGTCTGATCTTGGCACTTGCGGTTTGAGAATAGTTTGGACCCAACGTTCAGTGACCAAGAATGATGGGAAAATGTTCAGTTGATCCTTGCCAGCTACTCTAGCCCAGTAGGGTCACAAACATGCCACTGCCAAAGCTTTTGATGATAATTACACGGCCTATTATCAAACTTAACTTGTCACATCTTGTCACCAAAAGTTAGCAAATGAAGTGGGATGAAGTGGGATATGAATGGATTTGGGGCACCACATTCATCATGACTGTGACATCCATTCTCTTTACCGCCTCTCCCATAGGTCCCATAGCTTCCAAATCGGTGCCCAATGCCAAAGCGGGTGGCCGTCGGCCTTCGTCTTGATAGCTTCTTCTGATGACACTAAGTCCAACTTGTTCAGCAGCAGCTTGTCACAGAAGGCAACCTGAAGCGGCCACGTTGCGGACCTGGAAGGTTTGGGCAAATAGAATTACCCTCTGCTAACTTGACGGCTATTGAAGCTATGGCGCAGCCATTTTAGCGATGATTTACCTAATATTACCTAATGACATTGGTGATGTTCCATAGCAAACTGTTAATTGCCAGGGGGTATAATAAATGGTTGGGAGCAGTAGAAGATCAGTAGATGCTGCTGATGCCACAGCCCTGCCTGTTGGTAGGCCTCGTTCACCTTTCCTTCTTCCACCTGCGACAGAGTTTCTACTTCAGTCAAACAACATAAACGAAAAACTCAAAATGTCGGGTCTATGATGCAGTCTCGAGTTTGCACTTCACTTGTGGGAATGTTATAATATAGAAATCATTAGAAATCAATGGTGGAATTGAAATGGATTGAGGCTGCCAGGCTGCCTCCGCCGAGGTTGGGGAAAGGACTCTGAAATTCTGCTTGCTCACTGGTGGATAGTTGATAAGTATGAATCAACTTTGAAAACCACGAAGTCAGAGAGACACCTGGTCATCCAAGCGCCCTATGATGTTTCTTGCATCCGCAACTGTGATGACCTCAACTCGCAACCGATCAGCATCAGCAGTGGGAAATCTCTGAAGCAGTCCTTATGCTGTGGACTCATTCAACCAAACATCCTCTGGTCTCCTCTTCCCTTTTTCGACATCATTTGCTGTAAGTCTGCCTCTTGCTTACTCTAGCGTCGACAGCCTGTTCCAGAGTGTGATTTGCAAACACTGGGAAGTTCATTTCAAAAGTCTGATAACTTTCGCCAATTCCTATGAAGATTGTTCATTTGAACACTGGGCATGTTCGAACGCAATTGGTTTCCACAACTCGAGACATTTAAATTGTGCAGTCTAAGCGGCTCCATCCAAACGCATCCGAGCGCTGATGTCATCTGAGGTCATGAAACTCGGCGGTGCAACAGTTCACGCTGTTCCATGCTTGTGCTACTATCCTGGAAGCAAGCCAGCAAGCCAGCCAGGCTTTTGTTCTTCTCTCTTCGCCCAGGCAATTGGACTTTTGTTGGTCTTCGTACTTCATCGGTTGCTTGTAAATACATGCAACTATAAAATACCATAGATCATCTGTGATGACAAAGAAAAGAATCTGGATTTCAGAATTCCCACAGTAATTCCTATATGTTTGATTACTACGCGTCATTTCTTCAGGCCCTTTCCGAGTCGCTGACGTACGAACAATTGGAACGGGATCTGCCATTCCTCTCATTGCGGCCCCGCACCATTACTTCCATTTTCTGAATCGATGCGATGAAAGTATCAAAAACATTCAAAAACATCACGCAAACAAGCAATTCCGCTTGGAGAGAAGGGAGAGAAGCACCAAAAAACTCAAAGCAGTTGGTTTACAATATGCTGTGACATGCTGTGACCCGAGCCTGTTGTCTCGATCATGACCTGATCCAAGTGGGTTCCTTTGTCCACCTCATTCAAAATGCTCCTTCTGGGCACACTGTCGTGTGGCTGGTGTGTTTCAACCCCAAAATTGTGGAAGTCAATTGGAAACATCCTCATCCAATAAGATGGGAAAAAATAAAATAAATTTTCAGAACTACCAATCAGTTTGGCCAATTTTGTATAATTGTGTTGGTTCTCTTCCAGTTTATTGACGATCAAAATCCCGATTCTTGCCATGGGCCGTTATGCTGCAGCTTGACACGAAACCATAGATATGCTGATATGCTCAGCAAGTAAATAGTTTTTTCTCCCTAAGGTGTTCCTTCATTCCTGGGAATGTTGGGATGTTCATCAGCTTCATTCTCCATCCTCTGCCATCACTACTTGTTGGTTGACAACGGTATTCCCGAAATTGGTCAGTTCATAATAATTCCGAATATACCAGGTAGGTGAAAACCCACTATCATCAATCAACCTAATGTACATATTGCATGTTTTAATAGTTGAACACGTGAAAGCCAATATGGATCTGTTTGAAATTGGAATATAAGTAGAAATCACCATTTTCAGGGAGCCATCTAAGATAGCTATTATGGGTAGCCATCTAATGGGGTATTTAGATATTACCTCTGAAAACCATCGAAGTAGGGACCTATGATTTCTGATTCATCACCCGTGTTTTCCCAGCGTCCTGAGGCCGTCAAGGAGATCGCCGCGGATGGTGCAGCACATGCAACCTGGGTATATTTCACCAATATTATGGTGACAGGTTGAAACCTATCAACTAAGGATTAACTACTTAATAATGATTATATGTAACTAAGGATTAACTAATCCCTTCCATTAAACATTTCCGAGAAAGTCATGGTTTAGTCTCCCCATTACAAGTTAAAGCCATTTGGGTGGTTAAATCGCCCCTTTTCAGACACACCCATAAAGGGGATATCATTCTGATCTATTACTGATGGGGATATTCTACTGGGATTATTTTGGGGGCGAACACAGATTTGGAATGGACCAGAAGTTAAAACTAGCTATGGGTGGGTAGCGTGATGTGCATCCCTTCATTGAAGATGGGAAAATCATAGGTTTCCACCCATCCCAATGTCCTGAAATTGGTGCAGAAGTCATCCCTTTCATGCAAGGGCCAGTTTGGGACGAACCCCACCGGGGGAGAACAAATGGCTAAGTATAATACTATATAGATTATAGATACTATATAGATACTATATAGATACTATATAGATGCTATATAGATACTATATAGATACTATATAGATGCTATATAGATACTATATAGATACTATATAGATACTATATAGATACTATATAGATACTATATAGATGCTATATAGATACTATATAGATACTATATAGATACTATATAGATACTATATAGATACTATATAGATGCTATATAGATGCTATATAGATACTATATAGATACTATATAGATACTATCTAGATACTATATAGATACTATCTAGATACTATCTAGATACTATCTATATACTATCCAGATACTATCTAGATACTATTTAGATACTATCTAGATACTATCTAGATACTATCTAGATACTATATATATATGTATACTATATAGATACTATATAGATACTACACAGATACTATATAGATACTATATAGGTACTATATAGATACTATATAGATACTATATAGATACTATATAGATACTATATAGGTACTATATAGGTACTATATAGATACTATATAGATACTATACAGATACTATATAGATACTATCTAGATACTATATAGATACTATCTAGATACTATCTAGATACTATCTATATACTATCCAGATACTATCTAGATACTATTTAGATACTATCTAGATACTATCTATATACTATCCAGATACTATCTAGATACTATTTAGATACTATCTAGATACTATCTAGATACTATATAGATACTATATACATACTATATAGATACTATATAGATACTATATAGATACTATGTAGATACTATATAGATACTATGTAGATACTATATAGATACTATATAGATACTATATAGGTACTATATAGATACTATATAGATACTATATAGATACTATATAGATACTATATAGATACTATATAGATACTATATAGATACTATATAGATTACTGGTTCGGTGAAAGTTCTCGTTATTCTTCGCCTCCTGTTCGCCTTGCGTCTCCTTTCTGGATTCCCTTGTGGGTGGAGGGGTCACAGCTCCGAATGCGGCCTAGCTAGCAGTTATCTGTGATGCAATGTCAAGCAAACCAGTAACCCAGTAACTCAGTAGGTGAAGACTAATGATGCCATACATCTACCCCTTCCCCTGAGGCATTGGACCATTGTCCATGACCTTAGGAAATTGCACGGGAGGGAAGCGGCAAGTATGGCAAATGATGCCGACGTCAGAGAAAGAAATGAGTACCAAACCTACTGTATCCTCCTGTTCACTTCCAAGCGAACAGCGTCCAGCGTGAGGGTGTAACTTTTCCCCTTCTGTAGGAATGAAACTTTGCCGCAGTGGAGTCAGAATGATCATCATATTACAAGCCTTGATGAGTAGTATCCCGCGTATGTAGCTCCAACCACCTTGTGGCGTTTTCACCGGGCATTCTACGAGAATCTTCTCAGCCATGGCGATCTTCTCCTGGCATACTGCATGGCACCCTGCAACTGGCCATGTCAGACAGTCAAACATCAACAGATCTTCAGGAACAAGCAAATGGCTCCTTTCAGCATTCAACCCCAAATGTGTGTGTTTGGTTGTGTTTGTATTAAGGTGCAAGAGCATATGGATGCGCATATGTACAAACATAAATGCTTCATTTAGAACCATTCCGTAACTACAAGTGGGTAGTGTTAAACCTGTGGCCTGGCCAATGAATTTGGAAGACCATTCTTTGCCTGCAGTAGATACACATCCCTCAAAAACTTGAACCAAGGGGGGAAAAAACACTAGGACAAGCTAGGACAAGGGACAATGCATCAATGACACGACCAAGTCTTGATGAAATATGTCAATAGGGGTTCTTGTTTCTGGACAAAGAGAGCCCTAGATCTATTCGACGAGTTCAATCCATCCAAACATATTTGACCATTGATCCTCATGCCAGGTGAG